TATAAATAGCCAATAGAGATGTGTTGGAATCAATTTTTGTAGCCACATATATGAGTTTTCTATTTTAAACGATATGAGATTGTGTTCAACCTCCCATCATCCAAGATACTGGTACGTGCCCTGAGAATGAAATCAAGACTGATACTACTCCTGCCTAGAAAAGTTCATTGTAAGGTGGTGTGAGCTTTATAATGGATGTGTTTTATGTTAATTCTAATGTTGAGAGACACAACTCCATCAATTTAGTGTCTTCTGAGGCCAAGGGTAATCCTAGAGATCCCCACACATATTTTTGAAAAGATTCATGTGTGAAGAAATTTTACCCTCTTACGGGTTCGGGACACCCATCGAGACCAAACTCCCCAATTTGAAACCTATAAAATGTTTATTTTTTATTTATGGGCCCGTATTCTAAAGATATGCAATTTTTTATATCTTCTGGATCGACGAGGACCTTCCTACGGTAGTCCAGAAAAAGTTAGGGTTTCTAACACTCTACCCTCACCGTGGTTCGGAACAACCATTAGCAATGATTTTGTCAATGAATGGCTGCTCAAAATACTCATTTTTGATGAAGGTATGTGACCATATATTAGTCATACATAATCTCCCATAGCATAAGAATCAAAGAAAGCCTCCATCAGGCTATCTACAAAAAAATTAGGGTTTTCAGCCCAAATTGACATCTAAGCACTAGTCTCAAGCTCTTAGGTACCCAAAAACTCATTCCAGAGCATTTTCTAGAGCCTTGGGAAAGTAGGCACCAACCTACTAGTGCCTAGGTGCTAGTATTAGGAATCTAGGTGCCTAAAATCCAACAAAAATAGTTTTTTCTTGTGAAACAGGAAAGCAGCGCAACCCTTCAGGTGTCTAGGCGCGAGACTTGGCACCTAGGTGCCAGGGTTTCCGGCTCTGGTGTTCCAAACTGGGTGCCTAGGCACCAGTCTAGTTTCTGAATGCAAAAATTCTAAATTTTGGAGTCATTTTAACACAGACACATTCCCTCATGCAACCAAAATTTGGGATTTCATTGGCTAATGGGAAGATTGCATGAGAGAGAGGCAAAAAGGGGGCTCATAATGCCACTTTTTGATAGATTTTATAATTTTCCTAAGGTTTAATCAAGCTTTTCATGGAAAAATCTGAGGGAAGGTTGGATGGCTTGGGTTTAAGCTTCGCTAGCACTTTTTCTTCTATTATCTAATCTTTTTCTTATTCTCTCAGACCTAAGGGTTATTGCTTGGAGAAAGAGAGGAGAGCTTTAAGTTTCTTTGGGAGAGAGTTTCTTGGAGCAAGAAGTTGAGTAAGGCCCTTCATCTTCCTCAAGTAGAAAGCTCTTTTGGAGAGACTTTTGCTCCAAACTTCTCCATTTTTTTCATCTTGTTCCAAATTTCTTCATACCTTCTTCAAATCCACTGCAATTTCTTCTTCTTCCACTCATTTTTCTTGAGCATGAGAGTGTAAGTGAGGGGATTCCTTGAAGGAGAAGCTACATAAAGGTGAGACATTCTCTCCTTGTGGAAGAAGAGCTTCATACCACCTTGGGGAAGGCTAAACTCTGGCAAATTCTTCAGTCTTTTTTGCTTGGAGAGGTTCTTCCATACTTTAGAGAAGGAGTGTGGAGTGTGGGGCTTCATTATCTCTTCTACAGTAAGGAGATCTTCATCCGAGACAAACCAGGACTTCAATTACTCATTGCGTATGTGAAACCCCTTTAAACCTTGTTCTTTATTTTCCTAGCTAGCCCTAGGTTTATGTAGAGAATGTTAGGGCTAGGTTGTTGTTTTCCTAGAGAAGCCCACTAGGATAGAAAGCTTTCATTGGACAAAGTCTCCTACGAATCTGAGTGATATCCTTGCAAAAGCCTTAGCCCGAACCCAAACCGGCCAGAATCTGTATTTCCTCTGGCTTTGGTGGTTCCAACCTTCCTTGGAGGGGTTGGAACATTTGGATTTTTTGAAATGGAAAAAGCTTTGTAGCTATTCAATTTCACAAAATCTTGGAGGATCGTGGAGTGGGAAATGTTTTGTAGCTAGCCCATTGTATAAAATCATGGAGAGTTTTCCCTTTGAGAAATCAGAGAGCAAAATTCCCCATATTCATCACCGAAGCTAGAGGAGGCTATGCCAAACATCCATACGCTAAAATCTAGGTTCTTGTGCAAGTGTGCTAGGTTAGAAATGACTTGCTATTGAGCATTAACATGTGTATTACATCACATGTTATGTCATGTTGTATGTTCCACATTGACTTGACTGGCTGTCCCGACCTGATCAACTTAGCATTTTAGTCTAACCGATCGCCCTAGCCTGGTGGACTGATCACATAGGTCCAACCGGGCGTCCCAGTCAAGTTGATCAACCACTTAGGTCTGATCAGCTGGCCATATCTAGCCGACCGATCACTTAGGTCTAATTGGTTACTTGGAACTGTCAAATGACCACCTAGGTCCGACCAGTCGCCTCGACCCAGCCGACCGATCGCTTGGGTCCAACCGGCCAACCCAGCTTAGCTCGGTCGACTGACCACCTAAGTTAAACTGTAATAGCCTCTTACATTCATCATAGGAAAAACAAACATCCATGTTAAACCTTCACAAACACAAATAACACAAGGAAGACAAAGCCAAAAATCGGGAGAAAATCAATAAATCACGAATGCATTCTTTTTTTGTAGATCCTTGCAGCCTCGGTGGTGATCAATAATCTGCAAATAACTCACCACACTTCTTCTAATAGTTGGGTGCAATTCCACTAGCTCAGTAACTCTCGAATGCAGGTTCAGTTGGAAGAGCATCAAGAATCGAAAAATGTTGGCTCGATGGGCTCCTACTTCGACAGTGCTCAATGGAGGTGCTATGTCGTCGGTTGCTTTGTCGGCGGTCATTCGACAGAAGCTCGGGGCATGTGCTTCAAATACCTTGTGAAAGGGCTTAAAATACCTTGGATTTTCGGTGTTTCCACGGAGATCCTTCTATGCCGGTTGCTTTGCCGGCGGTGCTTTGGATGGACGAGAGAAATAAAGAGAGAGGTCGAGAGAGGAAACATAGTGCACAACAACACTAGTTTTGAGGGAGTAAATTTAATAGTGTTTTATTGTAGAGATGATCCATATTTGTAGGTCCATAGACATCTAGTAAAGTAACACATTCGTCCCCATTTTAATAGGGACCATATAAATCATTATTACATTTTTTCATATTTATAACCAACTCTGAAACTTTTTTAGATTCATAACTGACATTGACAGTGTTTCAAAT